ACTACATGAAAAGGGCCAAAAGGACAAATACCAGATGATTCTATTTACATGAGGTCCCTAGAGTGGTCAAATCCATAGAGACAGAGGGTAGAATGGGGGCTGTCAGGGGCTGGGAGGAGGGGAAATGGGGAGTTACTGTTTAATGGGTACAGAGTTTCAGTTTTGCAAGATGAAAAGAGCTATGGAGATGGATGGTGGTGATGGTTGCAAAACAATGTAAATGTACCCAATATCACTAAAATTGCACACTTAAAAATAGTTAAGAAGGTAAATTTTATGTTAGTAAGTGTATTTCACCACAAAAAGAGGGGGAGCCTCGGCCATGGTGACCAAACTGAGGCAGTGGCCCACCTGTGATCTTCCCTTGCCTGATCTTCTGCACCTTGTAGTGAAGGGAGGTCCCCACCATCACGTAGACGTCATGAGCTGGGTTCAGAAGGATGTTCTCCAAAATCAGCAGCGTGACCTCGGCAGGGTGTACGTTCTTGACATGAGGAAGAGGGTAGAAAAGGTGAGGTGGGTCGGGGAAGGAAGGGATGTGGGCAGAAGAAAGAGAATCATAGAACTTCTCAGGATGTTCATGCGGGGACAGGGAAGCTTGGGGTGATAAACAAGGCAACACCTGGAGATCCCCCAAACCCCAGGGGATCCCATGTGTATGGCAGGCACATGTTCGGAGGTCACTGCCAAAATGTCCTGAGCACGTCATTCACGTTATGTATGTTACAGCTCAATTTACAATAGTAATTAAACAGGAAAAAAAGTGAGGAGCCAGGAGTGATATCCATGCATACTGTGGCCAGCAGGGGCTCGGGGTCTCTCCCCACAAAAGCCCTAAAATCCAGGGAGGTTGGGAAGCGGCAGATCAACCTGGAAAGGGGGCGAGGCGTGCGTCTCTGACGAGTGCTCAGCCCTGCTCCTCGGCCCCTCCTCGCCCACCTCTCACCCCACCTCCCATCAGGAAACCCGTGAGAGGCTCAAACGGGAGGAAGACCACATGTGTCCCGTCCAGTGCACCCTCGGGTCAGCAGACTCCAGAGGGACCCGCACCTTCTGCGGACTTTGAGTGGTCTGGCAACTCGGCAAGTTGAAGAAAGCTCTTGGCAAAGCAGATGGTTCTTGTCCACAGAATTTTCTCTGGCGGAGGTACAGTTAATCACCGTCCTGTGGGTATCGACTACTTCTGCATCTACGCGTGAATTCTTTGGATTCTCCTTTGAACCCCTTGTTACAGGTTTCCTCACTTAACAGGAAGTTAAATAACATGTCTGACACATTAAAAAAGAAAGAAAACCATTCAGAGCCCAGGCTCTGGGTGGGCAGGTGCTTCCAGCGCAGCCGGCAGGGAACCCACCAACCAACCGCAAGCAGGACAAGTTCACGGTGGGCCTGGCCCCCACCCAGTCTGTGCACCACCCGGGGGCCCAGGATAAAGAGAGCAAACTGTCTCCAATACTAACTGCAGAGTGCTGTGGGCTTGCGCCTGTGACACGGATGTCTCACGTTTCCAAAACCCTACAGGACTCCCACACTATTGGTAAACCACTACAGAGTGTGGATCAGAGGAGGATTTCTCTCAACCGTCACTTTAGAAACGAAATAACAGCTGGAGGTCCACGACCTCCCTGCCCGGGCCCAGGAAAGAGGCAAAGAAAAGGAAGCTCTCAGGTCTGCAGTTCAAAAGGAGGCACAGGCAGGAGGGACCGTCATCCACAACAACCGAGAAGGAGCCAGGACCGTGGCTAAACCCGCTTCTCACCCTGCTTCCCTCTGTGCCCACTTCATAACGGGACGTCAATGGAGAAGCAGGCGCTAGCGAGGCCGGGGTGCCGTGGCGGGGGGCGGGTGAGGAGCCCCACCCTCCTCAAGTGGGACCACCCGCCTCGGGGCTCAAGTGGGAGCGCAGGGAGAGGCGGCATGGAGGATGCTGAGGAGCCCCCAGGTGTCTGCACAGAGCCCCAGATGCCCGGGCAGGTCCCTATAGCAGGACAGGGGCAGCTTGCTGAAAATGGGCTAGTTAATGAAAACCCTCCTGCTCCTGGACCTCTCCTGAAACTGAGAACGGAGCAAATGCTTTGTGACTTTAGAGATGGTGCACTCCAGTGCCCCAACCATCTCTCTCAAGTCATGGCCCCAAACAACAAACCAAACCAACAAAAATCTGGAGTCACCCGCAGAAGTTTCCACTCCACCAACAGGGAAACCCTCAAGACAGGGCACCCCATTTCCACTACGAAATGTATACACGGGTGTGAGCGAGACAGTCAACCTCGTTCCACCCCTGGAAGCCCAGCATCTCCCGAGCCCTGGGGCCCACCTTGTAGACGGCCTCCTGGAGGCGAGCCTTGAGCTTGGAGCTCCCGGTCCTCATCCCGGACACCAAGACGGTGTCCCCCTGCTTGGCCGCTTTCTCCATCTCTGAGATGTAGGAAGGAGGTATGTACGTAGACTCCAAGAACGGGAGGATTCTGGAAAAGGAACATATCGTCACACCTGACAAGTAGAACCAAAGAACCTAACACGGTCACCGTCTACTAGCACCTCCTACTAGGCGCCAGATGTGCAAATAAGTGGTGTTGTCCTAGAAATGTGTCCCTGAAACTCCCCACATCAGAATCACCAACGTCCTTGTGAAAAATGCAGATTCCTGGCCCCTGGCCCAGGCCTGTCTGCACGAAACCTAGGAATCTGCATTTTATCAAAATCCAGAAGTGATTATGGTAAAATACAGGTACTGAAATTTGAAGACCGCCTGCTCAGTTGAAATGCTTCAGTCTCACAGATGCGGATGGTGAGGCCCATGGAACCTAAGAAGCAGCCCGAGACCACAGACCCAGCCAGGGTGGCATGAGCAATGCCCATTAGCTCCCCAGCCCACCCCTCTGGGCTAGCTCCTGCCTCTGGGAAATGATTCTCAATGACCCCCCTCAGACATCAGGAAGAGCGGATCACGTCCCATCTTATCTCCCTGGGGTCATGATGCGGGGAGAAGCCCAGGTGGGGAGCGAAGTCGGGATGCGGTGGACCCTCCCCAGAGTGTGGGCTGGTAAGCAGGGCTGGCTCAAGGGACCCCCTTGGTACAGTCTCTCACCTGCAGCTTGCGATGTACAAATAAACCCATGGTTCCGCCCAAACAAGGGCAATCCACTGGACATGTTTTCACTCTCCCTGAGATCTGCGGGGCACGGCACTACGCCATGATTTAGTCCCTTGCCCGTTTTACTAGGTGTCACATGCTGAATTTAACAAAAATCCAGGACACTCTGGTTCCTACACGCCCAGCACCTTGGATTTTGGTTAACGTTCAGCTCACACACCAAGTGCTTGGAAGCTTAGGGGGCTGGCACAGCAGGAGATGGGCTTGGTGGTGCAGAAAGGGGCAGGGAAGCAGCGTTCCCTGAACATCTCACGTGCGCCAGGCCCCCGTCGGTGTGTGAACCCACACAGCTGCCTTCCGGGGGCAGCACTATTAATGGTCTCCTCCGTCTGAAAGAGGAGGAAGCTGATGTTCAGATGGGTTACCTGCCGTGACTGAGGCCAGGACCAGAATCCAGGTCTCTCTGACTGGAAAGGCCCTATTCCCGGCTGCGTGAGATATCAGTCAGCAATTCCGAGCTTGTCCACAAGGCAGAGGCTGACGGTCCCAGCCCCAAAAGAGCTCTGACCCAGGAGGGCAACCCGGCTCTCAGTCAGGGCATGAGGATGTCTGCCGTGGAGACGGCCGTGAGCTAAGCCTGAATGTTTCCCAGAGCCCCGAGCTGGACTTTTGAAGGCGTAAATAAAAGAACAAACTCTCAACTCCCCACGAAATACTTACTGAGACTGCAAAGGAGGTAAGAGGGTGACTTCACAGTGGGGCACCCTGGCGGACGCCACCTCACCCAAGTGATGACAGTGATGTCATCAGTGACGGGCGAAGGCGCGGTAAGTGCAATCAGAACCATAAGAATTGCACCTCTGTGATGTTCCCACCAAAGATGCAAAGCTCTGAGTCTCACAGCTGGGAACATCAGATAAACCTGAAATGAGGGACATCCTACGAAACAACTGGACTATACTCTTCACAAGGGTCAAGGTCCTGAAAGTCAAAGAAAGACCAAGAACCTGTCCCAGGATGATGGAGACTAAAAGCGAGAGGACAACGCGCAGCAGGTGACTCTGGGCTGGGTTTTCTGCTACAAAAGATAAAATGGGAAAAATTGGCAAAACTCGAACGAGGTCTGATGACCGTAGGCATCAGTGTTCATTTCCTAATCCTGATGACTGTCTTGTGGACATGCAGGAAGATGTCCTTAGTGGTCGTAAATGCATATCAAAATAAGTGGGGGTGACGGGGTGTCAGGTTGACAACTTGCTCTCAAATGGTTCAGGGAAACCACTTTTTGCATTGTACTTTCAACTTTTCTGTAGGCTGAAAACTGTTACAAAATTTTTTTAAAAATTAAGTCTTCCTCTCCCAAAAGGGACTATACTCTCTAAAATTTTATTTAATAAAGCAGGAGGCAATGCAGTACAGCACAGACAGAAGCCCAGACTGGCATGTGCACCAGCACCGGCCAACAGAACTTGCTGCAACGATGGAGATGCTCCACCTCTGCTCTGTCCAATACGTAGCAACCACCAACCACACAGCCAACGAGACCTTGAAAGGCAGCTTGTGCATCCGAGGAACCGAACGTTTCATGTTACCTAATTTCAATTTAAGTAGCCAGGACGGGGTTGGTGGCTACCACATTGGATAGTGAAGATTTCTATAAATCTGAGTTCAAATCCCAGCTCCTCCACTTACCAACCTGAGACAGGTGGCTTACACCTGTTTCTACATCTGAAAAGCAGAGAAAACAGGGGTATGCAAGCCCGCACGGCTGTGGGGAGGACTGAAACGCGTCAAGACAGGTAACGGTTCCACCTCAGGAGGAGGCCATCCGCGTCCCCCGTGCTGGGGAGCACAGCCTCCTGCGTCTGTGAGGGGCTGTCACCGCTAGAACAGCTCTCAGCTGAAACCTGTCTCCCCTTCAATGTACCCCAACGGGAGGGCTGCCCCCTGGGGCCACACACAACCCTTCCCCTGCACCCGTGACCCCCTCCGTCATCTGGGATGTTTTCTCTTCTGCAGCTGGACATCCCAGCCTCCTCGACCGTCTCCCACTGCACACACCCCGGTGGGCTGCAGAAGCAGCGAGGTTCCCATACAACTGTGCGAGCCGACACCCTCTCCCTCAGCAGTCCAGGGGAACGCCGGCCCCACCCTGGGAATCGTCCTGGCTCCTCGCTGACGGCGATGACGACGGAGGCGACAATGACAGCCCCCGGCCCACAGAGCCAAACGACGACCCCTTCCCGCTTCCCTTCAAGGCGAGGCGCCTCTCACCGCAGCGCGTTGTGGGAGTCTGAGAACCCGCCGGCCTCCGAGTCCTTCACGATCGTCCAGTCGAAGACCAGCCCGGCCAGAGTGCTGAAGGTGTTCCCTGAAAGAGCAGATGCGGGCAGGAATGCCCTGGCGTTAACTCCTCAGCGCGCCTGGGAAGGGGAATGCGCTCACTGCCGCCCCTGCAAAGCAGGCAGCAAACCTCCACTCGGGAAGGGAAACCAAGGCTTCAAGGATCGGGGTGATGTGACCGTGAGGGGCTGAGCCAGGAGGTGAACCAGGCCCGTCCCGGGTGAACGCTGGCGTCCGTCCCCGCGGTACCTCCTGCCCCGGCTGCTCACGCTGGGCCCAGCGTGCTGCCTCACCATCACCCTCCCGTCACAAGACCTGATCATTCAAGCGGGGACTCCCAACGCCTGAGTCGTTCGCTCCTCCTCACCACCTCCCCGTGCAGGCGAGGACACCCGGGGGGGCAGACCCCCCGCCACCTGGTTCCATGCGACCATTCCCGTCTCTTTGCCCTGACGCTGAGACTCCCGGGGTCCCAGGGGCAGGAGACGGGAAGCCACGCACAGGGGCTGGGCTCTGAAGTGCTGGCTTGCCGTCCATGCCTTTCACCGGGACGTCAGAACCAGGGAGCCTAGCGGCGACTGGGCAACGACTCTTGGAGGAGCAGGACTCAGAGCGGGTCTTAAAGGCTTGGTAAAGACCTTCTTAGTGTAAGTCCAACGCCTGCTTCCACGTGGACACCCTGGAACAGGGCGGGAGATGAAAACTGGTGGCTCAAAGGCCTGTTCTGCTGGACGCTATGGCTTTCTTGGTTTGCACACTACCTAGGCAGCGCTGCTTGTACATTTCTGAATTAGTTCCCATCGTGTCGAATTAAGAAATGCAACATATAGATCCAACTTCCAATTTCGCTTGAAAAGTCTGAAGATCCAGTCACCTGGGTCCTATTCCCTCTGCTGACCAACTGCTGGCTCAGCCTCTCTAGGAAGGATCATGGTCTCCGTTTTGCCACACTCTCCATCACACCCTATTGTTCCACACCCACTCCACCTCCGTCATCTACATTCCCTGCCTGGCCAGCTCCCAAAACAGAGCATCGGGGGCCTAGAAAAGCTCTTCCACAGTGCAAAGGGCAAGCCATTTAGAGTCAGATGGGCCTGGGATCCTGACCCACCCCACCTGTGAGATCTCAGAGGCCGAATGAAA